AGTTATGTTTACTGTTTATTATCTGTATTCCCCAACTAGAATGAAGGTTCCATGAGGGCAAGGATTGGTTTTCATTTTATTTTACTGATAAGACTCAAATCCCTACAACAGAACCTCACATCTAATAGGCACTCAGTAAGTACTTTGTGGAATGAATAGCTAAATGTCTAGTAGTTAAGTATTTTGTCATACCTGTAATACTAGACTCTAATGCTGTATATCTGAATACATTTTGTGTGAGATGAGATCCAAGAATATCATAAAATAGGAGTTTGAGAAATTTGGCCATGGAAAAGTAAACAGGGACTATTAATAGAATGTATCCATAGACCAAGACCAAAAAGAATGTCCCATTAGTAGACTCCCAAATGTTGAAGATGGAGAATGAGAAAAAATTACCATTTGCAAGTGAGATCATTCTGAATGCATCTTCAGAGACCACTGAGTGAAGATATAAGATTCCAAATAAATGACTCATCTATTAACCTAGAAAATAGCTGTATGGGAACATTCTTACTACAAACACTTCTCAGAGAAAGCCATGAAGAGAAATCCTTTTCATTCATTCTTTCAAACATTCACTATTTCACATTTACTTTGTTCTAGGCATTGAGCTATATACTAAATACAAAACAAATGAGACATTGCCCTCAACAGAGCTTAAAATCTAACAATATAAGGAAAAATTTTCACAAGTAGACAACTATAATTATAGTAATAAATACTGTGAAAAACACTAGCAGAGAAAATAACAAGAGACCTCTTTATAATGGTCAGAAAAGCCCTCTCTGAGGTTAAAGAGCTGAGCCACACCAAGAGCCAGAAGAGCTCACCAAGCAGGAGGAATATGTATGTAGGGAAAGGCCTCAGTGATTCAGAATATCATAACAATTGGGGAGCAGGTCACAGATGAGAATGCATTTTTAAGAAGAGTCAACAATGACTCCTACACTTAGGGTTTATCCAACTGAACGTATGGTGTGCCACTTACTTAGATGTAGAACGCTGGAGGAAAAAACCAGGTTTAGGCAATAAATATGGTTTGACAATCTGTGAGGACTTAAATGGGGATGTCATGCTAGGTAGCTGGAAGTATAAATCTGCTTCTTGTGAGGCTGGTGCTTTTCACTCTCTCACCCATACTGTACCATGTAGTTAAGGGTCCCAAATGTCTCCTCCCCACTGGCAGTGTCTGTCCAAGACTCAGCATAGTGGCAGCAGCAGCAGCTTCTTGACGAGCGAGCAGAGGTGGAAAGATGAATGCAATTACTCAACTCAAGGAGAGCTTTCTTAATACTACTGAGTGTAATTATTATTAATTGCTAATTTTAGTATGTTTGGTTTCTTATTTTTAGTCAAATTATCAACTATGCTATAAAGTTAAGTGGGCCTAAGATTTCATGGAAAAACATTGTATCCTTGGTGGTATCAGCAGTACCTAATGTGAAGGCAATTAAAGAGAACAGCACAAACTCTGAAGCAAAGAGTTGTAGACCCTTGTACAGCTAGCCCTTCCAATCTAAAACAATCTCAACTGTTCAAAACCTAAAGGCTTGCTGATCCAGACCTACGCTTAAAAAAAGAAAAAAAAAACAAAAAAAAAAAAACCTAAAGGCTTTTATGGTCTTATATTAACCAAAAAAGGCAGTAAATGATGTATGTCATTAATAAATTTTAGCCTACCTAGCAACACCAGTCAGTGAACAAATACCTTTACTTTAGACTCCTTGCAGATTATTCTTCCTTTCCAAGAATAAAATCAAAATTGTTTTCAGCTCCACATCTTTCAATTTGCACAGCTGCAATACTTTGAAAATCCTTGTTAATTTGTTGGCTGGGGTAGTAGTCATCTCTCTAGTCTCCTAACATCAACTCTATGATATTCTTTAATTCATCCATGAAAATTTCACTAAAGAAAACTTTCCTAAAATGTTTCCCACTTGAATAGTTCTATGAACCAAAGCATACCCGAGTCCACTCCAGTAACTTTTAAATTGTGTTTTTCACCTAAAATCTCGGATGATCCTTGCAAGTAGAGCAAGTTTTAATTGTAACTTCCAGTTACAAAGATATCTTTTAAACTTTCCATTGAGTTGGTCTATTATTGTTGAGGTCTCAGATCTGGGAAATATCATGAGTTCTGGCTATATTCTTCAAAGTTAGGAACAAAACTCTAAGTAATCTCTAAGTGTTTCAGTTTTATGAGTCCAGTATCTACATATTCCTAGAGTGACACTAATCCTACTTAGTCTTGGAGATTAACTGGCTAAAACTCTAGAAAAGCTAATTGTAGTTTGGAATAGGCCAAGAGACAAAAGAACTCCTTTGTGAAATTGCTAAATCTTCCTGCAAACATTCACGAGTCATTAATACTCTAAATACATGTAACACATGTTCATCAGTAAAAAGGTAATTGAAGAATGTATACGCCCAAACCCCTCAAGTACAAGACGTATAACTTTATTAACTATTTGAATAATGTGCACTAGAGTTTACAAATGTTTTCAAATATTTGTTAATAAAATATAGTATTTCTTCTGTCAAATTAACATTACCTCTAGAGTGACTTCTAGGAACGTTTGGGCACAATCAATTGTGGTTTTTGTTTAAAAACATGACTACTCTAGTCCTAGATTTCCACACCAATGTAAATCACCACATAAATAGCCTACAATTATTAAGTTTTTTCTCAAGAAACAAAGCAGCTTTTTTTTGAAACTGCTAAAAATTTGACTAAGATGTAAATCCTTTTTGTGACCCTAGTGCAGTCACTCTATGACTACAGACCTAAATTGTTCATCTATAAAATGAGGGTATAAAACTTGCTCTACCTAGCGCAAGGATCAACTGAGATTTTAGGTGAAAAACACAATTTAAAATGTCATAAACCTACAGCGTCATTTAATTTTCCTTTCATTTTTAAGCCACTTTCTTCTTACGGGATTACAGTAGTAATTTCTTTATGTAATGTTAATATAACCCCCAAATAGCATAACAGAATCAAACTACTCAAGCTCTTCTAATAAACAGCACTGAGCTAAAAATTTAGCATAACGAAACTTCAAATTTAATGCTAAATGAAATTTACGTTTCAGCCATTCATTCTTTACTGCAGCGCATAAAGTTGTAGAACGATTAAAAGACGTGAAGGAATCTTGTGTAAACCGTTATTAAATACAAATAGTTGAAGAAATACACCTCAAATGAACAGGAACCACAAATATTTGGTCCATGCAATAAGAATGAGCAAAACCACAGAGGCAGATGATTTACTGTAAATCTCAAGATCTCAATAATAAAAACCGGAGAACATGGAGCAAAACAAACTAGAGCAACATACGGTAAATGAGTACATGTTCTCGAAATATGCAGATTTTAGTCTAGGAAAACTACAAAACAAAGAACCAAGAACTGAACGTCTACTTCCTTTAAACTAATGGTTAAAAAAAAAAAAATCAATTTGCAACAAAGTAATTATTTCAAATTAGACTCCCTCCCAAAGCTGTCATTAAAAAAATAAATAAATACATAAGACAAAAGTTTACGTTTCAGAAACGTAGTAACAGCAGTAACCGTGAACATCAGGTGGTTTCTCTTTGTTGCTTATCGATGACACAGCTTTCTTCCTGACAGTCCACAACTAATTACAAAGCCAACTGCTTGCCCAATGGCCCGTTCCTGCCCCCACCTAAACCCTAGTAACTAAAAGGGCGTTAAAGCATCTTGGAGACCGAGGGGGCGCTGGGGAGGGGGCTGTCGGGGGTCTGCCAGCGCCAACTCCTCAGGTGAGCAGGTGTGCGGCTCGGCGGGGTCTAGCGGGGCTGGGCGGCCAGGGCCTGCTCGCCGCGTCCCCGGCAGGGCAGTGTCTCCCAGGCAGCGCCCCACGCCTGGGTGCCGGGAGAGGCGGGCGGTGGGGCCAGGCTCGCCGTATCCCCAGGGGACCGGGGAGACGCTGGGAAGCCACAGGCAGGCAGCCTGGGCCTATCGGTGTACAGAGGAAAGGCTGGGGCGCCTGGGGCCTGAAGGAGCTGGGCGTTGAGGGGCAGCATGACTTCTCTAGGGGATTTGGCGGCGTGGTGGCAGCTGTCCCCGGGGCGCAGGGTATTAAGGGCAGCCCCGGCCGCGTGAGCCGAGAGATGCCCGCGTCCCGGGGAGGGCGGACGCCGAGGTATACAAGAGGACAGACGTAGGCCGGAGGGGGTGTCCCGGCCGCATCTCGGGCCTCTGCTCCCTTCACCTGCCACAAACACCACGAAGACCGCGCCGCTCCTCTTGGCCGTCGCGATGGCGGTCGGAATGGCGCCCTGGAACCACAGCATCGCTCCCTTCGGGCCCAGGCGCTCGCTCGGTGTGTAGCAGCCGCGGTCCCGGAGCTGGCCCCGCCCTTCGTCTTCGTCGGGCCCCGCAGCCCGGGCTGGTCTGGCCCCCGCCTCCGGCTCCGCACAAGCGCGCACGCCCGTCAGCGGCCCCCCGGGACGCGCGCTGGCACTGCGCGTCACGTGACGCCACACGTCGCTGTGGGCCGCACGCCCCTGTGCCTGCCCTCTCCCGTCGGCGAGTCGGTGCGTGCGCGCGCCCGCTAGGCCTCGGGCCTCGCTGTCCAGGAAGTGGAAGAAGGCAGTGGGAAGCATTACTAACCGCTACGGCAGGGCCTGCCATGAGGCATGACGGGAATTGTAGTCTTCTTAGGTTCGGTCGCCTCCATAGTATGGAAAATGTAATTTAGTTTCCAAGGCACCGGGACAGGGGTTAGTAGTGAGACCCACTGCGGGAGGAAGGGAAGCGTCACTCTCTGACCGGGATATGCTACTCTCCGCCTCACTGAGACCTTAAATGTGGAGGAAATCGTCCCTACACGGAACCGATGGGCTTTGTAGGGATTTACACCAAGGCTTTGATTTCTGTTGAATTTATCAGCCCAACTTTGTAGAATAGACAGGATAAAAACGGCAACAATCACCTGTCATAGCATGCAGCCCATGTGCCTGAAGAAGGTACTGGTAGACTGCAGACCTTCGGCGATTTCCCAGACACTGGCTAGAGATCATTCCAAAACCTCAAAAGTTACTCTATTGCCACAGCTACTTTCTAAGGTAACAAAAAAGCAGAGAATAGGTAATTTGTTTTCCAGCTACTTTCCATGGCAACATAAAAGAGAATAGATAATGATTTCATTTCCAATTTTATGGGAGAAAGTCCTATAACCAAAATATGGCACTTTGTGGTTGGTTATCATGAAAATGAAAACTGACCCATGTTTAATACTTTTTAATGAAATTACATGGTGTCTAGTAACTATTAGCTAAAGGCTTGCATGGTTTATTTAAAGGTGTATATGCTATTATATTATAAATTCTACATCAATTAAATTTCTCTTCCAGCAGTGCAACCATTTGCCAGTCTTTGCAGAATAAAGGAGGCGACACATCTGGAAATACCCCTTTCCTACAAATATTTTCCCTAAAAAGTAGCTAACAAAGTACACTCTGATTTTTGCAGTTTTTTAAAATCAGGCATCTCATATAGTGTCATCATAAACTGAAACATAATGCTGATTATGGACAGTTGCTTACATAGGACACCATTCCTCGGGAAAAATTGGAGCTGATCTTTACCATCAACTTTAAATGGCCTTCTTAAGATTTGATCAACCTAGAAATTCTTCCAGTAGAGCTATGTCTTTAATTATTCCTAATGTTAGAATTAAATATTATAAGAATCATTCATAGTGTTTCATTCATTCATCATGTTTGTTGCTCATCTACTATGAGCTAGGCATTGTACCTGTCATTGATAAGGAGGTGAGAATAAGGCCCTGCCTTTGTGACAATATAGTCTAGTGAGGAAGGGAGACACTGAATAAGTTATGAGTGAAGATGGGACCAAATGTGGGCTAATGGGGTCAGAAAAAGTCTTCATTAGGACATGACAGGGGAAATGTAAGTAAGTAAAGGATAAGACCATTTCAGGCAGAGGAAGGAGCATTGTGAGGCCCTGAAGCAAGCAAAGATAGTGTACTTGAAGAACTGAAAAACACCCAGTGTGGCTAGAAAATAGAAAGGGAAATGTGGTGCAAATGAGACTGGAAAGGTAGGCAAGGATCAGATCATACAGGGCCTGGGAAGTCATGTGAAGGACTGTGGACATTTTTCTAGGGATTATAGAGAGCCATTGAATAATTTTAAACAGAGCAGTTACATATAAGACTTGTCCTTTTAAATTGTAGGATGGCAATGAAATGGGTTGAATAAGAAGTGGAATGTGTGAATGTGAAGAGACCAATTAAGAGGCTCTTGTTTATATATGGGGAGATGGAGAAGTGGATACTTTTGATATTTTGGAGGCAGACCCAGTAGATTTTGTTGATTGATTAGATGCAGAGTTGAGGAATAAGGAGTCAAGAAGGGATTTTAAGTTTCTGTCTTGAGAAATTATAAAGAAGGTGAGGTACTGAGATAGGCAACGCTGAAGAAAGAGCAGGACAGTGGGAGGTTGTGCGTGAAGGTGTGAGTTCAATGTTAGGCATGTATTTGGAGTGCTAGAGAGACGTTCACATGGAGATGTTAAGTAGACAGATGGATATTAGATTTGGAGCTCAGATAATAGTTCTTAACTAGAGAGGAATTTGAGATTTCTCTTTGTGCAAGGGGTAAAGTGACACACCGGAAGATACTATCACTTACAAAGATTGTGCAAGGTCAGGTGAGACAAGAGTATGGCTGAGGTCTTAAGACCTCATTTGTACAGCATTTACAGCAGGGGTCCTCAAACTATGGCCCATGGGCCACATACAGCCCACTGAGGACATTTATCCGGGTGCCTCTTGCCTGTCCTGTTTAGCAGCCAACTCGTCCCTGGCCCACAGTGCGCATGTGTGGAGTGTGCGCCGCACTCTCCAGCGGCCCTACAACGGTCTGAGGGACAGTGAACTGGCCCCCTGTTTAAAAAGTTTGAGGATCCCTGATTTACAGAATTGTATACACCAGTAAAGGTGACTCAGAAGGAAAGGTTGGTTGGGGCCGTGTAGAGGAAAATGGAAGAGTGTGGGATACCAAAGAAGCCAAGGGTAGAGAGAGTTTTGAGAAGGGAGTGAGAGGACGCTATGTCAAATGCTGCTATTTGGGTCAATTAAGATGAGACTAAAAAATGTCCATTGTTTTTAGAAACATAGCAGTGATTAAACGTTTATCAAAAAGCAATTCTCGTTCTTCTATGTGGAAGCCAAATGGCAGTAGGTTAAAGAGCAAGGGGAGGTAAGGAAGGGGAGTCAGGGAGAGTGAAGGGAAGGAGGAAGAAAGGACATCAGGGGGACAGGAATTTAGATTGGGAAAGACTGCCTTTCTAAAGATGAGTGAGAGTCACACAAGATTAAATACTGATAGAAAGGCGCTAGTCTTGGAGAGATTGAATACAGGAAAGAGGGAGGTTTCTATGAAGAAGGAAAATGGGATATATTGTAAATTCTGTCGATAGCCCATCCAGCCATCATTCTTCTACCATGTCTTCCGTTATTTCTTCCAGGCAGAGCTCCCTTTCCACTGGGAGGCAAAAATGCCAGATACTTGCTCTCAACTTCCCTTTGCAGCCAGTAGGATCTTGTGGGAAGTAGGTTGTGGGGCTTGGGGGAGACTTCTAGAAAAAAGTTTTTCCAATAAAAAGACACATAGAAGCAAGCACAACCCTCCTTTACTGGATGTGGTTGTATGCAGATGATGCCTGGTACTGCTGCAGCAGCCATTTTGTGACCATGGGGAAGGACATTGCTTATGCTCTAAGAATGGCACAATGGAATAGAGAAAGCACGTGCCTATGATGACATCACAGAGCTCCTGAACCAACCCTGGGACTACTCAGCCTGCATAATTCTTGTTTGGTGAGATAATAACTGTCCTCATTGATTAGGCTACTGGAAGTTGGGCATTGTTTCTTGTAATTACCATTCTATACATTCTGGGATGGGATCCAGTACAGAGGCAGATAGAAGAGACACCTTTCCATTTTAACAGAAAAAGGAAAGGAAAAATAACAAACTTTGGACATAAATAAGTTTGTAAGTTTCAAAACAATAGTTTGAAGATGTTTTCATATGAAAGCTTTAACTTTTTTTCTATGAAGGAGAGGTCATTTGCTGAAAGAGGGTGGTGGGGGGTAAGGAAATTGTTGCCTTGAAGATGAGACAAGGCTTGAAATGATGTTAAATGTTGGAAGGCAAGTAAACTAGGGAAACATAGTGTGCCAGACACGGCTGATGGCAGGTGAAATTGGTGGTCCTGAATTTGGCCAATCGTGTGATTTTTTTTTCCCCATTGGTCATTCAATCTCTGGGTGTAGGCACTAAGAACGTGGACTCTTGGATTTATCCAGGCTTGTGGGTGCTAGGAGGCTTGAGATAGAACAAAGGAAAAGGGAATTTAGGAGATTAGCAATGGAATGAGCAAGGTGATAGAACATGGAGTCTAAACTGGTTGGGGAGGGAAGTGAATGCAGAGGAGACAAAAGCAAACACAGGGGAGGGGAGGCCACGTCCTTGAGGGCTCAGGGTGGCATGGAATCTTAAAATGTTAAATTCAGGGTGGGGGTGGGTGGGGAGCCAGTTAGGAATTATGAAAAAGATTCTTGGGTTTTGAAGTCTGGTATTGTCCAATTTAATTAGAACATTCCGACCAGGCGTGGTGGCTCACGCCTATAATCCTAGCACTCTGGGAGACCCAGGCGGGCAGATCATTTGAGCTCTGGAGTTTGAGACCAGCCTGAGGAAGAGCGAGTCTCCATCTTTACTAAAAATAGAAAGAAATTAGCTGGACAACTAAAAAAAAATATATAGTATATTACTATTATATACAGCACACATACCACACACATATTATAAAGTTAGCCAGGCATGGTGGCGCATGCCTGTAGTCCCAGCTACTCACTAGGCTGAGGAGGAGTTTGAGGTTTCTGTGAGCTAGGCTGACGCCATGGCACTCGAGCCTGGCAACAGAATGAGACTTTGTCTCAAAAAAAAAAAAAAAAATAAGGCAACATGCCTTCTTGAATCAACCACACGTGAAAGTCTAGAATCTGCCTCTTTGTACATGAACCAGTCACAGCAATCTTTCAATTTCTTTGTGTTAATCCTAATTTTACCTTAAGTAATTAAGTAATCTTAATTTCACATTAATGTAAAATGGTGAATTTTACATTCATTTTTGTTTTTTATTTTAATTTCTACCATAATGGACACTGTGGACATGCCCATTTAGATCCCTGCTTCAGAGCTTGGGCACACTCTCTCTCCCAGCAGCTGAGCGTATCCAGAGCTGTGTCCTTCTCAGGGGCTGTAGTCACCTGAGGACACAGAGGCCTGGGCCCCTTTCTTTTTGGCTCCTGTGGATCCTCCCATCTCCAGCCCTCCCTGTCTCACCAATGTTGCTACTAGCATGCCGCACTCCCTAATAAACCTCCTATGAGCAGATCTTCCCAGTCTGTTTCTGTGAACTCAACTGAGACAGACCCTGTCGCCTGAAAGATCCACACAACATTCCTAATTGCTCTTTCTGCCTCCCCTCCCGTCCACCTCACATATTAACGTCATATCCATATTCCTGGCCCTCTCCCCAAATTATTTTTAGCATGTTAGTCCTGCTTAGAGATCTTTAGTGGCTTCTTGTCAGTGCCCTCCAAAGTAACAAATCTATAGCCCGTTCACAAATCCTTCTACAATTGGCTTCAACCTACCTTATTCCAACATTCCAATCCCGGTTCCTGTTTCCTTCACTGATTGGGCCTCCTGAGGCCAAACCTACATACTGTTTTATTCACTGTCTCAGGTATACTTCCTGCAATCTTCTGTCTTTTTCTGTTTTTGTTTTTTGTTTTTTTGTTTTCGAGTCCAGAGTCTCGCTTTTGGCCCTGGCCAAGGCTAGAGTGAAGTGCCGTGCGTCAGCCTACAAGCTGCCAACAAAGCAACCTCAAAAACTACCCATAGGCAATACAGAAAAAAAATATTACCATATAGCTAAGCCAAATCAACGAGCAGACTGCGGACTACAGGCTTTGTGCACAGTGCCCCGCACTAATTTATATATATTATATATCATACCGTAACTATTGCATTATATCCATTATATATCATCATATACTTAGTACTGGTCAATTAATCTCTTTCTATTTATAGGTGAGAGACGCGGTCTCACTCTTGCTTCAGCAGCTGGCTCTTCTCGAATCTGACTCAAGCAAATCCTCCTGCTCGGCACTGCCCAGAGTGCTACGGGATTCACAGGCCGTGGAGCCACCGCGCTACACGCTGATTTTACGATTTCTGTGATGGACAAGAAATGTATCAGTGGGGGGCTGCTGTACAGAAAGGATTGGTGGGAAACCTCGGCTGAGTTCGAACTCAATCATTTCCCATTCCTCCCGGCTAATTCTTCTTTTCTTCCTCATATACTTAGTTCAATTAATTTCTTTCCTGTTTATCAGTCAGAACACGGGGTCTCACATCTTGGCTCAAGCTGGGCTTTTTCGAACTCATGACGCTCCGAGCAACCTCCTCCGCCTTGGCCTCCCGGAGTGCTAGGATACAGGTGTGAGCCACCTGCGCCCGGCCGCCCATCTCCTGTTTTGTTCACCTATGAATTTCTTGTTGTGGAATCCTCCCACTCTCCTTCTTCATCCTTAAAAAATAGTTTGAAATGCCTACTTTATGGGACAGGCAGTTATAGAACAGAGGTGCTGGGGTCAGAGACTGCGTTTGGTTTAGTGTGGATTCGACAGATACAAGCATTATCTTGGTCTCAACAGCTGCTGTGTACTCAGTCAGTGGGGAAGCACAACTACATATAATGAGAGTGACCCATCATACTTCTTATTTTGGATAAAATGAAAAGGTTATGGACTGGTTATTGTCGAGCAGAAAGGAGGCTCAGGGATGATCTCTTGGGAGAAATGGCATCAACGATATTTTTTAAATAGACCTAAATCACAAACTTAAGCTCCTTTTTATACTCAGGCCCTCAAAACAGAAGTTTGTTGGTGTGCAGCAGGCAAAATATGACATGGATTATACTCTGTTATTTTTCCCTCCCCCACCACCCCTCAGATCTGGGGATAAACGACTCCCCTTGAGCTGAGTCCCAAGGTTTCATGCACTTCTTTGGTACAAAAAGATGGGTTCCATTGCAATGAGCTCTTCTTTGAGGGATCTTAGTGCTCAAGCCTGTTACCAGGTCTAGCGCCACTGAAGAGAAAGGTCAGGTGTCAGTTGATGTCTCTGTGACCTTTGGAAGAGCCCCGGCCACCACAGCTCCGCCCCACCTGCTTCTGCGTTCTTAAAGCTTGGCTTCTTGTCTCCAAAGCCAGAGAGGGGTTTGTCATGGCGGTCCCAGGCCAAGATGGGGAACCATCCCATTTGGCTTACCACAAATCCTCTGGCCTTCCTCGTCTTGAAATCTACCCATTTTTCTTCTGTGACCGATCACTATGCGCTTCCTCCGGTTTGCTCGCTCGACAGAGGCCCTGCAAGCTGTTTATCTCACACAAGACCCCTAACTCTCTTCATACCTTGCCAATGTGGGATCATTGGGGGGTTTCTGTTTGTTGGTTTGTACAGGGAGCCTCGTTTTGTTACCCAGGCTGCTGGAGTGCAGTGGTGCAATCATAGCTCACTGCAACATCCAACTCCTGGGCTCATGCAATCCTTCCACCTTGGCCTCCCAAAGTGGTAGGCTTACAGACAGGCATGAGCCACACCTGCCCCCTGATGTTCTTATTGGGACTGCACGAGGTTTTAGAAAGGCTGTGTGCACTACACTTTGCCACAGCCCCTCCCTCTACTAAGCTCCCTTCATTTGCTTGTATTAATATTTCAGCTACAGCAAGGATTTGAGTTTAGATCCCTGAACTATGCACGTGCAGCTGGCATCAGACAGGCATAAGTGTACAAAGAGAGTTGGCCAGTATTTCCCTAACCTCAGTACCAGCTTCTATCGCATCTGGAGGAAGAATGCAGTTTCTCACGGCCATTTATATCCCGTGAGAATTTTATTGTATATAGTTAACTTAAATTTATGGGTTTATATCTTCTCTCTTCCACTCATTTAGAAGCAAAGACTCTACTTAATTTTCTTTCCATCCCCAAGTGCCTTGTGTCATTTGCCGAATGAATGAGTTAATAGCCTGACGGAGGCCAAAGTTTCCCCACCATTAATTTCTATTTCAGTTTGCACAGAGAACTCACCACAAATTGAATACTTAATTCTAGTCACACAAACATATTCCACTATTCATAAGATGGTGAATGGTTCAGTATCAGCCTATTACCATCATTTGAAAAAGAAATCAAAGTGCATTCTTATTGAAGAATGCACTTATTTCTTATTGAAGCTGAATTGGTAACATCACCTTGAAGTAAAAAGTCCCACACCATGCTTTAAAAAGAAACATTTTTTTTTTTTGGTCCCATAGAAATCTGCACCTGTTTACCACCAGAGATGGCTGTATGACTTAAATATTGCAAAACTAGTTATATAAAAACATACAAAGGAAAAATATTGTTCTGTTTTTGTTTTTTCTTGAGTGAAAGTGAGAGGTGTAAAAAAAAAAAGAGTAAGTAGATTATATAGAGCAAAATCACTCTCACAAGTAGAATAGTTTAGATACTCTATAAGGTTTATGGATGTATATAAAATAATAAAGGCGATAAGGAACATTTGAATGTGTTCCAAGCTTCACTCACAACAATCGAATTTTCACCTGTAAGATACGATGGTATTCCTCTCTGGCTTCTCATGTAGATCCAGGTGAATAAGACAAATAAAAAAAAATGGCAATATGTACATTAGCAAGGCTAGAGGCAGCAACATTAAGTATTTTAGTCCCTGACCTCTGAGC